AAAATCACTGACATTAAAAACTCCACCTTAATTTTACTGTTCAAACAGAAAAAGCTAAGCACTTAAAAGGCTCACACCTTATTTTTCATTCATTGCACTGATATCAACCAAGCTGGTCAGCATAATTCTTCACTCTTGAAAATAGGATATTGGACTGTGTGCCACTGTCCATACCTACAATGTCAGGATACACTTAAAAAACAGAATGATGGCCTCTTGACTGTTTATGAAGAATTCTACTATTGTGATACTATGGGGGATGTTAGTGAGGGAAAAGGCCTTGGGGAAGAAGGGGGAAATCCTAGGGTCTACGAACTGTATCACAAAATATTGTTTTTGAAAAAGAGAAATTCTATTTAAACTCAGATTTTACATGAATTGCAGAAATAAATGCAAAATTGACCATAGACTAAAATAACCACAAATACAAAACAGTCCTAGACCCAGCTATATGGATATTTGGGAGTGAACAAGTACATGGAAAATTTCTCTCTCTCTCTCTCTCTCTCTCTCTCTCTCTCTCTCTCTCTCTCTCTCTTCTTCCTTTTCTCTGGGCCATTCTACCTTTCAAATAAACAAGCAGTTTTTTTTTTAAGTGAACCCTATTTTTATTTATTTATATGGGGTAATGATGGGCTGTAACAAATGCACTGTTCTGCTCTGTGACTTGATAGTGGCAGAAGCTCTGCATGTGTGTGGTAAGATAATACGAGAACTCTATATTTTTCACTGGTTTTTTTTTTCTGTGAATATAGAATTGCTCTAAAGTAAAAGTCTGGCTTTTTTGTTGACAGGAGCAATATTTTCTTTGCATGTCACTTAATTTCCACAATAATCACATTAGTGGAAACCATTATTTCCAAATATTGCACATTAATAAACAAAAGGTGCATACTTGCAAGCATCACGAATGAGTCACAAATTCAAAACATTTTGAAAACTTTCTTGAACATCTAAAGCAGATTTCTTCACATGTCATTGACAGAAGCCAATTTTTTTTTCTGGAAAGGTGATATTATTTGCTTCTCAATTATGAGGTGGTATATGAAATAAAATCTGGCAGTAAAATTAAACATTAAAACTGGGTAATGCTATAATAGATTTTAAAAAGAGTGTGCCAAAGTGAATGGCCAACATTTTGTCCTTGAGCCAGATTTAGCCACTGAGTAATTTTTAAATGGAATATCTCAAATACAATTTCAAGTAACAGATTCACCTGAAAGAAGTATTCCCAAATTCTCATGTTGTGCCCATCAACTACCAATGAATGATAGCTCACCCTCCTAAAAGGCACATGACTTCTTTGATCGCCTGAATTTCACCATCCAGTATTGTCTCCAGGCCTCTGAGCTCAAGTGTGAGCTACTCATTAATGAACAGGTATATTTTTATTTGTCATCCAGTAGGATTGGGGGTGGGAATTTTCTGCATCTGCACCATGAGAACCCAAGATATGACAAAAAGGCTCATGTTTCAAAAAAGCAGAAATGTATTTTTGTTTCTGGAATATTGAGTATTAACGTGTGTGTTAATGCTTGAATATTCATTAATATAAATAAATATTGAGTCTTCATATTTGGAAATAATGTGTGTTCAACCCACCAATGTGTCACATCTCTTTCAAAGATAGACTGATACAGATAAAAACATTACAAGGCAAAATGTGTGACCAAATGTTTAATTGACTCTTAAAACATTTAGAAATGATTTCTTTTGAAGTAAAAATTAAAGTGATGATATTAGAGTAAAATGCAAATACACACTAGATGAAAAAATAGCTCTGCAGCAAGTAAGTTCATAAAAAAAAAAGTGTCTGTAACAGACAGAGAATGTCAGAAATCCCAATAGAAATAATGTGTAGTGACTTAAAGCCTTAAAATCATTAATGAAAACTCAGTCATAAATATTTGGAGGCGCAGGTTCAACAGGCATTCAACCTAATCATTAAAATGCCCACCTCCCTAACCCAGGTATCTCGGTTTGGTTCCAAGTCTGATGGTTAAGTTAGTCCAGTGCCTGACACCCATGTGGGACACCTGTATTACATTCCAAATTCGAGAGCATGGCCAAGCCCTGGCTATCACAAACTTTTGGGAACTGAACCAACAGATGAGATGGCTCTGTCTCCTTCTCTCTCTGTGTAACTTTCAAATAAAAATATACAAATTTAAAAAGAAAATAAGTCATGCCTTTTTGGGGTTAATATTTTAAGCACAAAAATTATTTGGATGTCTGAAATAATTTTCTACTTGTTACACAAACTAATGATTTGCACAATTCATTCTTTTTTTAAAAAAAAATCTTCATTTGAAAGGCAGAGTTACAGAGAGAAAGAGTGAGCAACTTCCATCCATTGGTTCACTTTCCAAGTGTACACATGGCCAAAGCTGTGCCAGTGTGCAGCCAGAAGCTGGGAACTTCCTCTGGGTATCCCACATGGGTGCAGGGACCCCAACATGTGGGCCATTCTCTGATGGTTTCCCAGGCACATTAGCAGGAAGCCAGATAAAAAGTAAGACGGTTACGTAAACATCAAAGAAACAACTTGAAATACACTTCTCAAATTTTATACTTAATGACTAAATTCTTAAAAAGTATTGTATTGGGTAGACTCTTGTAGTATAAAGAATTACAGATGCGTTGCTGATTAACCACTGAGAAATGCAGTTCACAAAATCTACATAGGATGATCAATGACAGAACTCAAGGATTGCAGGTAATAGTATCATCTCATTATAAAATGTACTTGATCTGTGGACCACTAGGCTCTCAGAATCCCTAAGTATGTAAGCTCTCCAACGTGATGAGAACAACATTCCTTTGTGTCTGAGGAAGTCATAGCATTTTCTTTCATGCATATGCAATATCTCAATCATCAAGGTTAGGATGCGCGATTTTGTAAGAGATAACATTATCCATGTGTGCTAAAGATAAACTAAATTAAATGGACTAATAGATTAAAGACATATATTAAGAGATTATGGAATTACTTCTCTCAACATCTTTAAACAAAGTCCAGATATCTATCTGCCTAAAATAGTTTAGGTAAAGTTTGACTAAAGCCAGCAGAATGAAGCACAAAGATAACCTCTGAGAGATTTGTTGCTTCCATAGTTTTCCTAAGATTTTTCTCTCTTGCCCTCTAACTAAACTGGCATCCTCCCAGGTTTCTGATGAAAATTCTAGGCAACACAGGTTTTTGTTTGTTTCTTTTTGTTTGTTGTTTGCTGAATAAATCAGTACCATGTCATTCCAATTTTTTGTCTATGGCTTTCAGTGAGAAAGAGAGAGAACAGTATTACCGAATTCCAGCTGTGTGTTTAAGATACACGTTCAGTCTAGGTGAATAGCGTTACAAATCAGGATTGCTAAGTAGGAAGTTGGATAGTCTTACGGCACCACCTCACTGCCGAATAAACAACAGGAATTTAAAACAGGATTGTCACTTTATAGATGAAAAATCAAATATTTAATAAACTGTGACATATGCACTTACTGCTGAAAAGGATCTTTAAATATGTACTCCATCACAATAAGAACAAAAAGAATCAACCTAGTGAAGAGTTTTCAGTACCACTAGAAGTCCGCCAGGGGGCCCAGCACGGTAGCCTAGTGAACAAAGTTCTTGCCTTGCACGCACCAGCATCCAATACCAGTGACCCGGCTTCCCATCCAGGTTCCTGCTTGCGGCCTGGGAAAGCAGTTGAGGACAGTCCAAAGTCTTTGGGTCCCACACATGAGTGGCAGTCCCAGAATAAGCTCCTGGCTCTTGGTTTGGGGTCGGCTCAGCTCTGGTCGTTGCAGTCACTTGGGGAGTGAATCAAGACAAAGATCTTCAGCTCCGTGTATCTGACATTCCAATAAAAATGAATGAATCTTATAAAATAATAACAGAAGTCAGCCAAAGTGCTTCATTAAACCTTGTAGATTGGGCACCCGCCCAGAAGACCAAGATCTCCGTACCCAGAACTATCCTGGCACAGAACAGACGAGAATGGCAGGAACTGCATCTACTCCTGCAATCATGATTCTTCCTACAATTACCGTTCTGTCCACTTACTATACAGAATCATTGAAAGCTGATTTTAATAAATGATGATTACTTAATGTAAGAATTTTGATCGGTAGCTGAGGATATAAAAAAAAGTTTTAAAATAGAGTTTTTCTAAACAGTATCTCTTCAAATTTAGCTCAGGTGTTTCTTGTCAGTTTTTCATTCCGAGAAAGTTTAAGCATGCACTGCCAGTGGCACTGATATTTTTATCTATGTCCTAACAAAATTTTGATGTTTTAGTTATTATATGCTGATAATTTCCAAAAAAAGAAGAAGCCTCTCTCTGAATAACAGATATTCAGATGGCTTACTTTTGTTTAAAATGTTAACATGTGTATAGCAGGTTTTTTTTTTTTCCCCACAGACTGGAATGGTTTGCTAGGCATTTACAATATTATGGACCATATTGCTTAGGCTTGAGGTTATCTGTAGTTGAATTTGCTTATTCAAGTGAGACATTCAACAACTTAATTTGCAAACAAACCAAAGTCAACTATTTAGCAGATACTATATGGAAAGCCAATTAAAACATGAGAAATTCAGGCATTTTAGCAAAAATAATGATAAACTATTTTGGTTTCTTAACGTAGGTAAAATTTTTCAGAGGAGTGTGTGAAAAGAGAGCATTCTATAGGAGGCAATTTGGCTTTCCACAATTCAAGGTAAGTAAAATTATGCAATTTGATATTAAACAATTTTGCTTGCTTTGTGACAGAAACTTAACAAGAAGGTGGCCGTGGAAAAGGAATGGAAATCAAAAACTTTGAGATGATACTTCTGTACTATATTTAAAAACCGAAATGTTCGTATGTGCTTTTTATTCATCATAAAAGAGAGTCATATTTAACAAAGCAAATATATTTGGCTTATAATAGCCATGGAATATTATACAGATTGTGTGTCTTTCCTAAGTCATTTGTAATTTTCATTAAAGATAAAACAATATATACTTACCTGGCAGAGGAGATACCACGATCACGTAGGTGGTTTTCCCAGGGCAAGGCTCATCCATTGCAGCTGGGATGCGCTGATCCCTGCAATTTCCTCAAACGTGGGAAACTCAACTGCATCATTTATGGTAGTGGGGGGCTGTGTTTGCACTCTCCCCGACAGCAAATTTTAAAAAACCCAGTAAAACAATATTTGAATTTAATGTAAATACTCCTAGCTGGAATTTATTCAAAAAGTAACTGAGTGCAAATAGTTATCTCTTTAAAACATTGACAAATTTTTATGTTCTAATTTTAAGAAGCCAATATATTATATTTTTGAATGACTGTACTTCATTTCAGTCAAGATGAGAAAAAGAGAAGCCTGCAATAGTGTATACAGAATTTTACAAAAATCTTACTAAACTACTGGCGCTCACCATCTTATTTCTCTTTCAATTACATTAATGCTTTGATGACAAGGAACCTTGACCACATCAGTGATCTGATGCAAAAAAGTATCAGTCATCCTTTTAAAGTTTGACACTTCTGTTTCATAACACATTGAGGACATCTATGTAATTTTTATAGCTATTAGACTGTTCTCACATGATGCATACATCACTTTTGCAAAGAATGCAATGAATGGATGCTATTTCTGGTCCCTCGGAACTCAGTCATACCATATAAATCATTAGTGCAGTTGAACACGGATTAAATGCATAGAATTCATCATTGCCTCTGGAATTTTGCCCAAAACATTTGAAAACCACAAATGTTAGTTTTGTTTGTGAAAAAAAAAATTCTCTTCTGTTACATGTTTCAGAATGATATAAAGCTTGAGTCAAGTGATCAAAATAGTTTAAAAGTGAGACATGCAATAAGTCTGTTTAGTAAAGTTTTCAAACTGGCAGTCTCGGTGCTTCTGTTTCTCAAATTGTTATTGTTAAAGATTTCTTTGTAGTACCTGAAAAACGGTGTGTATATACCAAAACACATGCACTTCACAGGACTCATTTCAAAACTGCATTTGAAAGCAATATTTGGCACAAGAAATCAGCAAAGACATAGGAAAAATATTAAAATCACTGTGGGAGTGACAGCAAGAAATGGAGAGAGACAGATCCCTCCAGTGTGATCCGTTATGATTCTTTTCTAGTTATTGAGTATATAAATTTCTCTTCCTTCATACAACTGTAGGGGCAAAACATGATTATCATATCACTCAGTGCTTCACAACTTAAACTTCGGCACTGATATAAATTCAGTCTGCGTAAAATGACTTTTAATATTTTGTTCCTTAACGCAAGTATTAAATTTTGTATGATTAAAAATTTATTTATCCACTATTTTTTAATTTAGGTGTTTATTTTTTATTACTGCCATTTCTAACCCATCTTGGCAAAAACATCATTCTGTACATCAGCGAGGGAAGTTTTAAAGCGACAAGTAGCATTAGCCTTGGTGCAGAATTAGAATTAGAATTTCTATTTGAAAAAATAGAAATTATGATCCCTCCAACCTCTCAGATCTGCATCAGGCTGTCTTACAATAAAAAGAAATTAGGAGACAGAAACAAACATTCTTAAATTACTTTTCTTCAGAATTTACCTAATATAATTATTCACTTTTCCAGAACCTGTGGAACAAAAGGGAGGGATTCTGACACACCAGGGCTCCACAAGGAAAGCTGCTTCTTCCCCACTGTCATAAAGAGACCCTGTAAATGCTTTCCAAGCAGACAAACACAAAGCAGGAAGAGTCCATTTTCTAATTAGACGTAAAGGTGGAGAATTAGATATTTTCCAACAGATATAAAGCTGAGGCACAGCCAGGTCCGAGTTGGGAAAGAAAAATGTGATACTTAACTCACTTATATTTTCCTAGTGGTGTCGAATCATTGGTGGTTACAGGTAGGTGATGATATTTGCAGAAAATTTGGTTCAACACAATGATCATTTTCAGAGGTTTCCCTCCGTATCAATCAGGAGTAATTGTGCAGGTCTGGTTTAAAAGGACGATGCCCTCTGTGGATTGAATTGCCAGCACCTTTCACTACTCTACTGATGAGGATTAGAATTTTGAAGAAAGTTCCATCAATGTCTAGATAGTTTAAATACCTTATCTCTTTAACAGAGTTAATGGGTCTTAGTTCTTAAGAGGTCTGCTCTGCCTCTGATACATTTGGCCCTCTCATCAATGCTAATGGGAATGAAGAAGAAAATGGGGTCTAAATCATTTATCTTACATAAAAGAAAGGCATGATTTGCAGACTTGATTAAACCTATAGCTGAACAAGATAATACAAAGACTTGATTCTATTCAAACACGTCCATTGCCATATTTCAACGGGAAATTTGCCATAAAAATTTCTTTTCCTAGATATTTCACCATTCCAATCATCTTTACGCATATGGCCAAAATGTTTTGTACATTGAGATATTCAAACATTTGTTATTGACAGGAGTAAATGGATTTAGTCTTGGTTCGCTCCGTCAACACTCGTTCAGTATTTCTTTGCTCATAAAACTTAAAACTACTTTTGAAAGTGACCAGATGCTTTGCTTGCTCAGAAAATTTTACAGGAAAAGTACTTTTCTTTGTTCTTATTAGATTTGAAGATTTTTTTTTTTTGCTGTAGTTTTAAGGATACATATTTGTAGAAAACTTTGTCATTTGTGGGACACACATTTTAAAAAAATCAAGCTGAGAAAAACACTAATCTATATAACCATATTGTAGGCAAAATGGAGCATCTACTCCTTGAACAAGGAAAGGTGAAAGCAGAGAATGTTTGTGGATTTGGGGTTTCCTATAACTGATGGTCTGAGCATACCTACTTTCCGTATGGCTTCCTGCTGTCTTCATCTAGACAACTTTTCTCCACCCAGATGCTGTACTGTTTACTTCCCTGAAGACAATTGTAGTCCCATCAGCCTACTCTCTTTTCAAACCCCAACCAGAGAGTCTTACTACTGCCAAAAGATGTTCCTTCCCTCTAGTCTTATAGTTCAACGTTTACTTGGATTCTTAAATTCCGTTATAACAAAACAAAAAAAGAGAGTGGTTTTCTGACCACTGAGTATAAATCATGATCAAATTCACATTATTGATTAGTAGAATAAAGGAAACAATCTCAAAAATTAAACAAAATTGGTGAATGTCAACTAGAGAGAAAACGAAATACAAAATTCAGGTATTTTGAACTGTAGATGGACAATTTTAAAAGTTTACAGTTCTCATCAGCACTGAAAACAAAGCACAAGGAGACAGTGCAGTGGCACTGCACGTTAATCTTTCCAGGGAAATGGGAAATTCTTTCCCCTGACTTGGGGAGTCTGAATTCAATTCTGGACTCTTAACTTTGAGCCCTTTATAGGCTGGTAGGGAGTGAATCAGGAGATGGGAGTTCTTTCTTTTGAAAACAATTTGAAAAAAAGTAAGTAAATTATTTTAATTAAGTCTGGATGAAACTCGCTTTGCAAACTTACTATCTTTCCTTTGTGAGCCAGTGATCCCCACACAGTCTCCTGTAGTACATTGGTATGTCACTAAGTAAGCTTAACAATGTCATAAAGTTCTGAGAGAATCCATTTTAAATGTATATCACAATGTATGTCATAAAACAATAAAATAAATGTATTTAGCATAAAAAATCCACATCATAATAAAAATTTTCATATGACACTTTTAGAGGGAGGCAGAAATACCCCTTTAAGTCCAAACAAGGTGTGGAATATGAAACAACTACAAATATTTGACAACCTATATTTTAAAAATATAAGTTCATTCTTTATTTATTAATGGAAATAGAATGGAAGGACAAAGTACTTTGGGAAACGCTCTTATTAACTCTGCTTGCAACCTTTGGCAGCTCTAAACCCTCAGCTCACCTTAATTTCTTGTTTATTTACTATTTATGAGTTTATCACATAAACATAGAAACACATACAAACATAGAAAGTGCCAGAAAAAATTAAAGATGCTTGTATAGCATTGAAAATAGAAGTCGTTGGTGCCTGAGTAATAATAAGGTAAGTAATAAGAGAAATTGTAAGGAGCCGAGTAAAAATCATTAGCAACCAAGGGAAAACAAGAAGGGGTGGCCACGGTAAAGTGTGCGACAAATTAGTGACATCTGACAAAATTTGGGTTGCAGTCTGGCAAACTTTTGATATGTCCCTCAAATATTTTATGTTTTATTCATGTGTTAGATTATCACTATTGACAATTAGTACCTACTAATCCACATCTGTTGATTTAAGAGCTCCTTTTATATACCCGGGTTTATTTGACTTTATATACAGGAAGACCTTTGAAAATCAGTCGGCCAAATACCTAGATTTAGGAAAGGTTTGAAGAGCTAGGTCTTGCCTATGATAGGCAGAAGACAGAAATGCATTTTCAGCATCAAGTGCAGTGCAGACAGCTCGTGAGCAAAAGCATACATACAGAGAAAACAGATAAATAATACGTACAAATGGAAAAGCATTGTTAACTCAAATTTCCCATCACTTCATGATTATTTTGCGTAAAATGCCCTCTGTGCTGCCACATTTCAGTATCACTAATAACTTACAATATGTTTACAAGTTTTATGATTCTAGGATTTCTTGATTTATGTTATATGCCTTCTTCATTTATTTCTTTATTTTTGTCTAACTGGCACAAAGAGCATGCAAGCAATTTGTATAACTTAATCATTAAAACGCATCTAACATATATCATTGTTTCTTGAAGTAGTTTCCACTGAAAATTATGTAAATTTTGAAACTATTTTAGCTGGCACAAGAAAGAATAGATCATTAATCCTGATTAAATTCAGGAAGTATCAGTTCAGCATGTTGACACCAAACCTGAGAAGTCCTGATCTTCAGTTCAGAGGTGGTGAGTAACTTTGGGGAGGCGATAGTGATGAAGAAAACACAGCTGACCTCCTCAAAAATGAACATAAAGTCAGATGCCTTCAACTTCTACCAATAGATCAAAAACACTGAAATAAATTTCCAGAAAAAAAGTGAGCTTTTTTTCATGTCATTGAATTCATATTTATCTCCTTTAATTTCTTTGTATTTAAACTATACACATTTTACTAAAAAAAATGTATGGGAATTATATGTAGTATTCAATTATCTACACCATAAACAAAACCTACAAATCTCTAAATTTACAAAGAACATT